TCTCTCTCTCTCTCTCTCTCTCTCTCTCTCTCTCTCTCTCTCTCTCTCCATCCACACACACACATTGGTACACACATTGGTGTACTGATTTTCTTTTTTGTGTCTCCGCACCTGAACTTTCTGATGCAAACCTGCTGCATGCTTAACTGTCTCTTTTCTATTCTATCCTTCAAGTCTTGCCATGCAGGGAAGCGTCAGGATCTACATTCAACGAACTCAGATGGCAGTCTGCGAAGGTCAAGTCTAATGAGGCCCGGACCAGTTTCTGCCTGCACAAGTTCCTGACCCAATACCTCCCCCCTCCTAACTCTGTAACAATGGAGGTGAGGTGATATCCGCTAAGCTAGTGAGCGCCATGACCTTTTGCAGATCACTTTGGTGGAATGGTTGAATCTTTTGATGGTCACAGGACTGTGACAAGACTTTTTAACTGCGAGGCTTGTGGAATTTGCATCGCATTCCTCATCTGCCTCTGGCATACAATTACCAATGTTGCTTTTCATGCAAAGGATCAGGCGTATTGATGTTCAATTTTTCAAATCGTTCCTTGTCGACATGGCAATTTGTATTCATGCTTATTATACACTTCGGTGACTACGGATTATTTCTGCACTTGGTTTCGGGTTTCAACTTTCAAATGCCAGTTTTGTCAAGTGACGTCTGCCGTGTCTACTTGTGATCTGAGCGAGCACAGGTGTGACCGTTATGGCTAAATGAGTTAACCTGTGACTGGATGAGTCAACAGACTAGTGGTGTGACCGCTATGACTGTGTTTCTGCGCTGGGTCTAGGATATCAAATGCCTGGGCATCTCCTGCTTCTTACTTGCATGGCTGGATTAGTTTACCGACTCCTCATGTACTGGCTGTTTATTAACTTTATTTATCCTGACTATTTTTAGCATGTATATCGTGTCTATTTGTGCTGTCTATTTTTAGAATTTTGAATTTCCATATCCTGTGTGGATCAGTGTACATTGCCTGCTGGTGACTCGATCCGTCACATCTCCTGCTCAATGGCACAGGCATGGGGATCTGTGGGCTAATTAAAGTGCTATCAGGTCCTAGTTGTTTTCATTGCCCTTTTGTATTGATGCATGTCGCCTTTGGATGACTTCTTCTTTCTGTTTCCGGTTTGTGCATTTGATTTTGCTTTTAATTTTTCCTTCTTTCTGTCTTTCTAAGTTCATGAAAGTGCACAGTGCACCTGCTAATTTTCCATCTGATATTTCTGAGAATTTATTAAAATGGACAGTACCATTGGGTTTAGGGTTTAGGGTTTAGGTTTTAGCATCTCTCTCTCTCTCTCTCTCTCTCTCTCACACACACACACACACACACACACACACACACACACACACACACACACACACACACACACACAC